TAGTTGGTCGGACTAGTCTTTGAGGCATTCCCTCCCCAAGAGGATGCACTTGGAAAGAAGGTTTGCTAATTGATTTCCATCGGGACACTGTGCTCTACTTTGAAACCTTTAAACTTCATGATCTTCATCTTCGCTTTGCTCAGATATCTGGTTGTTATATTATCCCTGACTTTGAATTCTCTGCTCACTTGATTCACCACTAGTTGCAAGTCAAACTTTACTAAGAGATACAGGGCGTTCATCTTGTAAGCAAAGCGCAGCCAGTCTGGTTGTTAGTAACATCGAATTCAAACTCATAGGATGATATAGGTGTTTTCTGGTCAGACTAGTCAGTACAAGACTCCGGTTTGACTTGATGCGCAGTTGGTATTCATTGTCCAGATCTGGCTTTCGCCAAGTGCTCCTGCGTTCGGCTCACTTGGCTCAAAAAAATCAGCTCGGAAATTAGCTACCACTTGCATTTTATTCGCGGTTTGGGGCATGTAAGAGATGTTAATTTAGCTTAGTTTTACTGCTCATTTGATGAGTCGATCGGAATGCTCTAGTCGAACAGGACGGATTTGAGCGGATGATGGTGATGACCAAGACTAGGTGTGTTTGGAAATATAGTCAAAGTCTGCGAGCGAAAATAACAAGAGAAAACATTAGCTTACCATAATAGGGTATCTAAGCTCGGCGCCTTGGAAGACTTAACTGGCGTACTAAACGGGAAACTGCTTCCTAAGCTCCTCTCGGACTATGATTGAGCTTATGAGTTTAGGTCTGACCCCTAAATATAGTAAAAGTTCTTCTTTTGGTTTAAGACTTTGGAGAAGTGGTGTAAACACCAGAGATTATTTCCACTTTTTGAATGCTTGCTCGCACCCTTCTGACCTGACATTTCTTTGCTTGCATTAGAATTTTAAAGATGGTTGCACACTTGTTGGATTTACATCAGGGACATTACATCAGGGATCAGCTTTAAGCCCTTATCTTTTTGCTTTAGTTATGAATGCTGTTACTGGACATTTACAGGAGGATGTACCTTGGTGTATGCTTTTTGCTGATGATATTCTTTTCATGGATAAGACGAGAGAAAAGTCCCAGGAAAAACTTGAATTATGGAGGTCTACAATGGAGCCTAGATGCCTTCATTTGAGTAGAACTAAAACTGAATACATGGAATGTAATTTTACTATTAGTAGCTCTAGTGACAGAATTGTAATTTTGTGTGATCAAATTATTAAAATGTATGAACAATTTAGATATCTCGGGTCTGTTGTTCAAAGCAATGGTGATATAGATGGGGAATAGATGGGGATGTAGGGGATGTAAATAGTAGAATTCAAGTTGGGTGGTTGAAGTGGAGGAATGCTTCGGTTCTTTTGCGTGATAGAAAAGTACCGCTTAGATTTAAAGGGAAATTTTATAAGATGGTGGTGAGACCTGCAATGCTCTATGGCGCTGAATGTTGGTGAATGTTGGCCTAACATAATATTAAGTTAAGTGTTGCCGAGATGAGAATGATTAGGTGGATGAGTGGCTTTACACTTAGAGTGAGTGGC